CGATCATCGAAAAATGGAACGGACGGGCGATGAAAAATCACCAGTGAATCAGTACCTAAACAGAAATGATGAATGTAATGCCACGCAAATTCATATAGGTAATGTATAATCGCAGATCGGAGCTCTCACTAAGGCCGGSCAGACGGTCAGTGAAGATGATGCGTTTGAAGGTCGTCACCGAAAAACACTAATATAATACTATTGCAGCAACTGCAACAGGCACCACACGGGAATGAGCTTAGGTCTTATAGAGTATCTAAATACGTATGGCAATTGCAGGTAGAGATGGGTTCCTAATATTATGATAATATATTATATTTATCTCGTATTTTCACTCCGTTTCGCCCACGACGCGCACAGGTCACCGGTTGGGGTCATCGCGTCGCCACTGTTATGTATTACGTTATTATTATGTAGGAACCTATAGCTTATGCGCATACGTATTATTTTATTCCGTTGCGCGGAGAAAGGTGTGTGCGACGGTCGTGATGGGCGAAAGTGGTGCTCGGATGAAATTTCGTGTTGTTTCGTATTTAATTTGATTTCTGKTATTTTGTTGTTTTATCATTATCGGACACTCGAACAAGTGATTATAAATAATAATAATATGCGGTGRGTCGCCGCGCGCGATCGCCATATCGTTACGGAGCGAACGCAACTATTATTATTATTAATATTATTAACCCTTCGCGTTTTCCATTGCGCGAATCACCGCCATCATGGCCCAGCCAACACCGTCATAGTTATTATTTTAAAATAAAAACATAATTTACGCACTGTAGACGAAAGTCTCGGGGTTAAATCGACGGATGGAATTCAAAAGATTCATCTTCCAGTATGTCTAATAGGCAGAGCTATTATAAGTTACAGTTAAGTAGGTAGTTAGGTATGCATATGTTTCTGCTGTACCTATATATTTTATACCACTTTGACAAGGTAGCGAAAGATAATGTGCAAATTGCGATACCAACCGCTATAGGCGGTATACGTCCTAAAAGCGTTGACATTTCTTATAGACATATGTCGCTTACAGCTGGTGCCTATTATATYGGTGTTAACAATATTATGATTGAGTCTTGTCGCGCTGGAAACGTGCAACAACCATATTATAAGCTTAGACGATGGAAATAGAAACGAGAAAAAGAAGAATGAAATTATAAAAAAATCGAATCGTATATTTTGTAGTATTATAAATCATGACAACAATATTATTATATTATGTGTTCTAATATGAGTCAGCTAATAAAATTACGATAGCGTATTATACTGCACATATATACGCGTTTTGAAAATTGAGCTTGATACTAATAAAAATAATAAAAAAATATAAAACACAAATAAAATAGTTTACATGGATATTATAAAATATGTTACAATTGCATTTTTGGGGGGAGAATCGGGATGGGAATATGGGAGTAGTATTTAAGGAGGGGTGGAGAGGGATGGAGAGAGGATGTTTTGGGGATAATTGTGTATGGAGGGTGGCCACGCTTCTCGAAATGTTCACTGACCGTGGAAAAGTAACAATCAACGGTTTTCCACGGCCACTGGCGCGAAGCGTGTGCMCAAGGACGACAACATTATAACATTACGTTTGAATCGAACGCCCTAGTAAGATCCGCTGGAGCTCGGGGCACCGTAAGAGGATGATGGGCTGGCGCTTGGGGATCCGTAGCTGGATGATGGGCTAGAGTAGCTGGATCCGAGACCGCTGGAGGACAGAGATGAGATGCCGGAGTGTCCGATTGAGTCACCGCTGAAGCCACCCGCCGATGTGGGTCCGCTGAAGCCACCCGCCGATGTRGGTCCGCTGAAGCCACCCGCYGATGTGGATCCGCTGAAGCTGGAGCCAGAGCTGGCTGCGAAACCTCCGGCTTCCTTTTGGGTCTTGTACTTGATGAAGTATACTTCGGGTTTGGATGGTGTGGTTGGTGCTGGTGTTGGGATGGAGATTTGTGGTTGGTCTTCGGGCCTCTTGACCAAAACGTAAATCAGGGTCTTCTCGGAGTCTTGTTGCACTTGTGGTATGATTGGGGCGGTCGGGGTTGGTGGAGTTGGAGCCTTGATGAAGATGATCTTGTAGTGTTTCTGGGGTGGGGCAACCTGTTGGATTTGAGGTGGGGCGACGTATTCTTGCTCTGGGGGTGGCACGTGCACGTAGATGTGTTTCTGCACAACTGGGGCGGCCGGGGCGTAGTTGTAGCCCGAGGATCCACTTGCGTATCCTGAGCCACCACTGGAGTATCCGGAACTGATTGAACCACTGGAGAATCCGGAACTGACTGGACCGCTGGAGTATCCGGAACCACCGCCGCTGGAGTATCCGCCGGAACTACCACCGCTGGAGTATCCACCGGAGCTACCACCGCTGGAGTATCCACCAGAGCTGATCGGGCCGGAGTAACCGGAGCTGCCGCTGGCGTAACCGCCGCTCGAGTAACCACCGCCACCACCGCCGCCCAAGAAGCTCAGACCAGTGCTTCCGGACGAGTAACCACCTGATGAGGATGGTGAGCTATAGGAGTATCCAGCTTCGGGTCTTGCCAGTGCCAATGTCGCGAGCGACGCCAACACCTGTAATAACACATAATAATCGTTAGTTAGATAACTTTGCCAGTCAATATCAATTTGCGTGTGTTGAATTGAATATAAGTGATTGAAGTCAAATTCGATATTTTACATTGTAAACTCCAGAACAGACTCTTTCGATGAACGCCTTATCAAAATATAGTCAGAGAAAAATTTGGCTTTTGAGAAACGTTAATGTATTTATTTGTATGAAATTATTATTATTTACTTGATAGAAAAATAAGTAAGTATAAAAATAGTATGTTTATTTTTTTTRCTTGAAATGAAATATTTAGTAATATCTTCAACGATGAAAAAAAATCTATGTATTTTAATTTTAAAATCAACTCTAAAGAATTGAACGTTTTCAWATATATTAAGTGTTGTTGGTACTCACTACAAAGCGTGCTTTCATCATGCTGGATATTTGAAACACAAACTAAACACAAATTCACCACTAGAATAAACTGATAGTTGTTCACTCACGGTAGAACGGCTAACTGATGATGAGCTAAAGTTAACGAGGCTTCTTATACACCTGAGAAACCGACAACTTGGATGCGGGCAAAACATTCACTTTTGTAATTCGTATATTAACATCAACTATCACTCTCCTTCTCAATTTTTCTTTCTTTCGTTCACCTTGTAATAGCGCGCTTCTTTGACCCTGCCAGCCGGCCACCGTTCTACAATAATAGATAGGTAACTACATTTAATAAAATACTGCAAGGAAAAAAAACAAATCATACTGCAATGATTTTTAAATAACATTGGTCAATTTTAACGTTTTTACATTAAAAAATCTCGTCAATACCYTACTATCTTTTTAGTTATAAACGTATAGGTATACATATTATATGGTTTGTGCGTCAGTACATTTTGTTATTTCTACAAATAAAAAAAAAATCATTTATTCCTAATAAATTATAAAACTAAATAAGTAGGTAAATAAAATATTAAAATTATACAAAAAAAATATTATTTTTCAATTACTTAAAAATACAATTATTTTTTTAAATATTACAGATTTCAAAAAATCAAATCTGGTTTTAAATTTTTAATCCTTTCTTTGTATATTTTAATTTCATTATTAATGTAATTCATTCGAATTAAAGTTTGGTTTCTGAATTTTAATATTCCTATGCTTCTAGTTTTAATATAACATTTTTCTTCAAGTTATTCTACTTACGAGATTCAATAATAAAGTTTTAAATAATAGACCCATCACTGGTGTTTCTGTTATAATAAATTGTGTAAGTAGCCAGATTATCAGGCGTCCCCCAAAAAATATTAAATTATATACTATTAACATATATCTAATAATTATGAAGAACATTGAAATAATCACAATGACTTGAAATAGTTGAAATATATATTATACTTAAAAATGACATTATTTAAAACAATGTTTTTTGAATAACTTAAACATACAAATAATAATTTAAAATAAAATGATTTTAAAKTTTAAGTTATGATTTATAAAACTACTGTGACACTTTATTATATGTGTCATTTAGTTTAAATCGCCTATGTGGGGAAAATTAATGTTCTAAATGTTAATGAAAGTAATCCAATAATTTAAAAGTTAAGTACATTTTAAAGTAATTTATGGTATTATTTTGGCTTCTGTTACATTATACATTTAAGAACTATTGTAAATTAATATTTGAATGTATGWCAAATGAATAGAGTGTCAATAGTATAACATTAACAATTAATAAATTATAATTTCATGGTGAATTTTAACTCTTGGGTAATAGGCATAGTTTAAAAAAAATACATAATTAACATACAAATAAACATATAACATTTAAATACTTATTAATGCATTATCATTAATTAATAACGAGATATGTTATTATGCATTATCGAATTAGTCAGTATGAAGATATTAAAAATTAAATATTATGTAATATAATATAATAGTATTGTATAGCTAGATATTATGTCGTGATAACTAAAAAAATGAAGGAATATTTCATTTATTAGGTATAAAAATGAATAATTATATATCTAAATGGCTACATGTTAAAATTTTAAAATTATTTCACATAGAGAAAAATATGATTATTTTTAAAACGTTATTAATACAAATTAACCATTACATACTATGCAAACGGATATGGACAGTGGACCCCTCTTCAAAATCCTAGAGCCCCAAGCAGAAATGGATAATTTAAAACCTTCAATATTAATTATGATTTGGTTTAAGGAGTGCAGCTCTGACTACCATTTGCTTTTT